AAAAAAAAAAAAAAAAAAAAAAAAAAAAAAAATTATAGAGGGCAGCAGGGGGAAGGAACAGACAGCCTGCCAAAGAACGTAGGAGGCCGAGGGGGGTGGGTTTCATGAGAGGGGAGAGGGGAGGAAAAAGGGTAATCCAGTTTCTGCCCCTCCCCTCAGAAGGTACAGAAGGTCCCCAATGACCCTCCCCACACCTCAAAGGAATCCAAAGTGGTAACAGGAGTGCAAACTGGTCTCTCTAGCAAGATTTCATTTCTAAAAGCAAACAGCCACGAGGAAGGCCCCCCCCCATCTCTCCTCTCCATCTCTTATCTCTGTCTCTCTCCTCTCTCACAACAAACCACACACACCACACACACAACCCAACAGAGTGGAGTGTGCTTATTACACCCCCTTTCACTTGACCCTTCACTCCCCCATCTCGACACTCTCTCTTCGACAGTTCGACCTCCTCTCCCTGTCGTGGTGGTATCGGCACACACACACACAGTAACACACAGAACACACACACACACAGACAGACACACAGACAGACACACAGACAGACAGACACACAGACAGACAGACAGACAGACAGACACACAGACAGACACACAGACAGACACACAGACAGACAGACAGACAGACAGACAGCTGCCTGTAAATAAAGCAGCAGTGAGTCGAGTTAATGACACAATGATAAACACGGACTCTGATTGGCTGACGGCAGCAGACGGAGGTGGTGATTGGACAGAAGAGACGACAAATGTTTCAGTCTGGTTACTGTTTGGTAACCATGGTAACTGGAGTTTGGGGACAGACGGTTCAGAGTTTTAGGGTCCTGGTTTTAGGGTCCTGGTTTTAGGGTCCTGGTTTTAGGAGCGTCTGACTGCGACAGACACAAAGTGAATGGATGAATGTTAGTCGATGCTGTGAGGGTGAAAGCAGAACGTTAGAAACTGTGTCCTCTGAGTTCATTCAGCACTGTGACAATATCAATAACTAATCTATAATCAATGTGTGTGTAAATGTACAGCCGTTGTGTTTGATCGCTGTATTTAAACACAGAGGACACACAGACAAACCGAAGCAGCAGCAGTGTGATGAAGTTAAACGATGGCGGCAGAAGAAAGGTGAGAACTGGAGCAAACATTGATACCACTCAATATGAAGCTACAGCCAGCAGCTGGTTAGCTTAGCTTAGCATAAAGCCTGGAAACAGGCAGAACCAGCTAGCCTAACCGAACATAACAGAATCCACCGACAGATCCTCTAAAGCTCTCTGATTTATACGTTAGATCTTTAACAAACAAGTCTTTATGCTAAGCTAGGCTAACCATCTTCATATGTAAACGCACAGATACGAGAGATCAGAGTAAAGAGAGGAAATGTGTCTGTTACTGATTCCAACAGTCGGTTTAACTTTACTGTGAGACTTTTTACTAATCATGATGTCGTTATTTCAGCCTCACATTGATCCTGGAGTGAGCAGCTACAGTTTATGTAAATATTGGTGTGGAGGGAAACTTATTGTCTCAGACTGATCCACAATCTTTGCTCGTGTTCACCTCGTTAACCAACAATGAAAGCATGAAGTGGAGCAGAGAAAGAATTAGTAGTTGATCTTCAACACATCCGTCAGTGTGGATTAGATGTGTTAAACGTCTTTACAGAGACTTTTAAACACATCAGAGGAAGCCCGTTCTGGCGTTCATGTTTACACGCCAACCCCGGCTACCTGCATGTTCGGGGCCGATGGTTGAGGGTGGCGGTGCGGGCCGGACTGGGAAGCTGTCCGGCAGCCATATTGTTTCTGGTAGGGCTGGAGACATAATCGTTGGGCACCACTGGGGGGCGCACCGGCTCCAGTGTCCTGTAGGGGGAGTTCTTCCTGTACATGCAAAAGGTAAGGCAGGAGACAGGGTCATAAATCTGATGACTACGCCACCGTCCTGTGGGGGGGGGGCACTTCCTGTCTTAACAAACACATTTTAAATAGAAACATAAGAGAAAGATGTTCAGCAGGTTAAAGACTTTTTAAGACCTTTAAATTCACTTTTTAGATTCAACTTTAATAATATTTCATGAAACATTTCAAGACTTTTTATTCAAGTTAAAGTAAAATCGGTTGGTTACTGATCAATATGTCTATCAGGAACTCTGTCAATCACAGAGAGCTGAAGCTGAGCAGCCGGAGGACATCTGAGGGGAAACCAGGAAATATTTTCTCCATTAAAATCTGATCAGACTGAATACAGTTAGAAAGCTGAGCTCACGAATGATTGATGTACATTAGTTAGTTTGTTTTACTGTAGAACAAAATGAAACATTAGCTAACTAGCTAACGTAACTATAAAGTGATATGAGTCATCAGATACTTTTATTGATTATCAGGAAACTCTAAAATACCAATAAGAACACCTGAAGATACCTGAAGCAGGACTCCTGTCCCTGTTGGACAGAAACTGGAGGACTGAGGAGATAAACACACTGATTGATAATGTGGGTGAGGAGCCACCAACCCAGTGTGTTCCTGTATAACTGTCAGCTCTGTGGAGCCTTAAAGGCAGAACACATTAACATTATCATTAATGATTAATATGTAGATATATGTGATGAGGCTGCATTTTGCCTCCTTGCTGTGGAGAAACAGAGAAATGTGTTAAGGTCAGGTTTAAAGGTCAGGATGTATTTATAGAGAAGTCCTCCAGCACCAGGACTCTGTGGAGAGTAAGAGACAATGAGAATAAACCCTGTTTGTTCTCTAAAGTCTGATACATGAACCGCCTCAGTCCCAGATAACAGTGGATGTGTGAGTGTGGTTCTGGGTGTTGATGACAGACGGACTCGGCCTGTCGGTTGCAGCTCGATGCCAACTCACTGCTGGGAGCTGACGGAGAGACAGACGGACTCACAACCAACTGCCTCCCACGTTATCTGCACACTCTCACTGTCGCCTTCTTCTGTAAATCACTAACCTTTTTATTTCTTCTTCATTTAGA